TTTTATTTATTGCGCATAAGCTGTAAGTAAATAGAACTCATAAAATAAACTCAAAATGAAGATAAAACAAAGGAAAATTACAGACATATGAAAAAAAGGGGAGAAAGAAAAACAATAATAAAAAAATCCGGAAAAAAAGGATAAAAATTTTTTTTAAAAATTCGGAAAATAAAAGATATAATCTTTTCATCAGCCCAAATAAAACTTATTGTTTTTCGTAATTTTCTACGTGTTTTTTTGTATTTATTTATTTTGCTGCATATATATATATATATATATACATATAAAGAGAGACAGACAAAGATAGAAGAGATAAAATGCGAAGATAGGTAACTAAGTGTAAATTTATTCAGTGTTATCTGCATTCAAGTCATAGAAGTCATTGCTCTTTTGAATAAATAATAGAAGAAACTTCTCTTCGAATAGTTTGCTTACTTTCATTAAAAAAGGATATAAATTTTCAATTCCTTATCTTTATGAATGTTTCTATTTTTTTAACAAAAAGTTTCTAAGTTTCCTTTACAAAAGTATCTAAGTTTGTAATTTGTTATCTGCACTTTGATTTCTGAAAATACTTTCATTTCTTAAATTTTATAATGAAGTTTTCATAAGGAGAAAAAGTAAGTCTGTAATTCCTAACCATTGCTATTGTTTAAATATATATATATTTTAAATAATATAATAAAGTCACGGTTCATAGATATTTCTTATTTTTACTCAATTCGACACTGTTTAGTCTGAAACATTTTTTGTTATTAATCTGCAGAGAAATTAATCATCGATAGAGAGTAATAATTCTAGGTAGAATATTTATACAGATTTATCAGTATTTTTGATTTATAAGAGAATATAAGCATTGGTATCAGTAATATAGTGAATAAATAATAATATCCTCAAAACGAATAAGTATCTCTTTTCCATTCATTTTGCTTTTTAGTTGTTAGGTTATTTAGTTATTTTTATTTCAATTTAACAACATTAATTAAGCATCATTGTCGTCAATAATAGTATGGTGATTTTTTACGGTTCTAAAGGATGTTACTCGTTTAAAGTCTAAAACGAATAAGTACCTTTAACCTAACTCTATTAGTACCTAACCTTTACTCTATTAGTTTTGCTTTTTAGTACATAGCTTATTTCAATATACATACATTACCTAAATTAATTAAGAATCATTGGCGTCTATAATAGTAAGGCAATTTTGTAAGCTTATCCTAAACGAATCAGTACCACTTTTCCATTAATTGTGCCTTGAAATGCATAGCTAATTTTTTTTGCGTTTTAATTATCATTAATTTTAAATTATTTATTTTTATAGAAATACGTTTTAAAAGAATTACTCTAACACGTGGTATCAAATAACTTTTGGAATATTAATTTGGTGACGTAGTCCACGAATACTACGACGATAATGGTGTCAATGGGATACCTGCTAGTGACGTAATGTGGGTATCTCGATCTTGATTGGCCATTGAATCGTGACATTTGTTTACGCTTGCAATTGTTTCTTCCATTCTATTTCGAATAATCCAAGCTGGCCAAGTATCAATCCTCTGAAGTGATTCATTCTATATTCTTACACAAAGATTCTTTCACAAAGAGTTCTATTCTTTCACTATATCTTTCGTACTTAACACAAAGCCAGGCACGAAGCCATGTAGAATATAAACAAACTAATTATGAATCGAAGTTGCCAGGTACACGACGCAAAAATATAACTCGGTTAGAATAAAATACGTAGACAAATAATTTAATTTCAGCACATAGTGATTTAATTTAACCACGTAGGCGATTATATTTCTACTAATTCGATTATATTTCTACTAATTTGATGTAATATACGATACTGTATTTAATTAACTTCACGATAGTTAGCATTCTAACTTTTGAGGAGAAACTGAGCTCAACTTTAAGCCGCCATTTTTTTCATAAACGATCAGCTGACGTCGTAGGTCACAAGTGTGGGTATCCGGGATCTTCTTCTAGGAGTGCAAGTACCCGATTGAATTTATCTGACGTAGCGAATATAAATTAATTAAATATTAAAGCACGTGAGATAAAACGTTTTTTTTATCAAATAAAACTATAAGCGAGCATATATCAATGATGTTATCTTTAAAATATTTGAGAAATTGAACTGTCTATAGTTAAATTTAAAACAATGGCTAATGCTTAACCTATCATAATTTTCGCTCATCCCGCTTGAACGGTTCGTCATAGAATGTTCTAATGTGTACAGTGACCTTCGTGCTTCGAACTATCTGTATGACAAATTTCATCGCTTGATTGTTTGGGAGTCTACAAAGAACACACAGCCAGATATTTATATATATTGTTGCCACTCACATTAAGTTTATCATTTCCGTCATGTTTTCTTTTAGTTACCATCAAACAATTTCTCCGTCTCTTATACCATTCGAGAAGTCGTAAAAAACCTATTTCCACAATATCTATACAATAAAAACTGCAATTTGTATTTGAACAGTTTTTATAGTTACCAAATATATTAACATAGGTATCTAAGTACCTATATTGTATATTTAGTACTTATTAAAACTAACATAGGTATCTTAGACACTGACATAGATCTTAATGTACTATTAGTATATTTGGTGCTTTTTAAAACTGCACCCATTACTTTACCTAATACCATGATTAATTAGGCTTCAATGGCATCAATAGTAGTTAGGCG